CCCCCCAAAGCCCCCAGCCCTGCTCTCTGAGTTCCGGTGGGCCACCCCCAGCCCCTGCTGGGTCTTGAAGAGGCGCCTGGCCTGGCTGCCGTTGGCCTTTGTTTTGTGAGATAGAGGTGGGATAGGTCTGTGTGGAGTGAAGCAGAATGACCTATTAGAGAAATAGAAGCAGGAAGGGGCAAAAAGCTAGGACACGTCGGACTTTCGCTTGCTCAGGTTCTGGTCCCTGGAGCCCTGCCAGGAGTGACCCCTGAGCACAGATTCAGGAGTCATCCCTGAGCACAGCAAACTAGCAGCAAAGGTGAATGGACTCAGCAGGGCATTTTCCTGGGCAGGCAGGAGACATCCTTTCTCTGGGGTCTCAGGGAGCGCCCTCCAGCAAGCAGAGGGTAGGCTTGTCCCTCCAGACTTTGCTCTGGGTGCCGTCCCAGTGTTGAGGCGGAGCAGGTGGGTGCAGAGCCCGGACCGGCCCCTGGAGCAGAGGCTGCATTATTCTTCATCCCACTGGTCAGCCAGTGGCGAGCCTGTCTTGAGAGCAGGGCCAGCCCGCAGCATGCCTCAGCAGTGGCCCTAGACGCTGGTCACGGCCATCCGGAGCAGAAATGCCCATCTCTGAGAGCACATCTACGCTCTGGGTGGCCATTCATGGTCTTATGGTCAGGCGCATGCTGGGGGTGCAGGGGTGGGCAGGAGACATGGGTCAGGATGAGTGTGAGGACCCAGAAAATCAAGCCCCTCCAGGGGGCTGGAGCGATAGCACAGCGGGGAGGGCATTTGCCTTGCAAGTGGTCAACCTGGGTTCGATTCCCAGCAAACTATATGGTCCCCCGAGCACCGCCATGGGTAATTCTTCAGTGTAGATCCAGGAGGAACCCCTGAGCATCACTGGGTGTGACCCAAAAAAAACAAAAAGAAAATTAAGCCCCCCGGGACATGGGCAGGGAGCCCCGTGGCAGGGCTTGTTCCGTCCAGCTGCCCTCCCTGGCTCCATCGGGGTCAGCCCCCCACTGACCTGTCACAGACTCCTCCCGGGGCGAGGGCGGGAAGGAGTTAGTGCCACCCACCCAGCACTGCTGTGACCGGAAAACGTCCACTCTGCAGCAAATGAGCTTGCCTGGCCACATGTGGGCTGGGGGCCCAGGACAAGTCGCGCGTGGCGGATGGGACTCGGACCCCGTGGGCCAGAGGCTGGCTTTGAAGCTTGCGCGAGCCGCGGAACCCAGGGCCACATCCATGGCCCAAGCAGCGGGCCTGGTGCTGCTTCCCCTTCTGCCGCGGGGGGTGCAACCGAGACAAGACACGGCAGGGCGGGAGGTCCCAAGCAGGCACGGTCACTGCCGAGCTCGCCTGGGCCGTGGACGTCCCTCACACGTCCCCTCCCGGACACTCGCGTTCCTGTCAAGTGCGGGCTTTCGGGGCTGTGAGCCCTGCACGGCTCTGCAGGGCGCTGCACCCGAGCCGTCTCCCGAGGCTCTCGTCTGCGGCGGCTGCCTGCCAGGACTCAGGGCCCAGAGGCATCAGGAGCTGGCAAAGCTGTCTGGCCGCCTCACCTAGAGACCCCGAGCCCCAAGGTGGCCGCCTCCAGCGCCCCTGCTCCAGGCAGAGTGCTCACTCTCCTGAGGAGAGGCGCAGGAGGAGGCCCTGGGGCTCATTGAAAATAAATAACACGCAGCCCCGGGGGTGCATGGGGGCAACATGGAACGCACCCACGGCCCCTTCCCGAGCGTGTTCTGGCCCCAGGGGAGAGGAAGTTGTGAAAGAAAGATGTGCTTATAACTGCAGCCCTTTGCAACTTCCGCCGCGGCCCATCCATCTCGAGCGCCCTTTCCTTTCAGGCTTCCTATATTTATTATGTTTAATTTTGCTGGGACGTGGATGTAAGTGAGACGGATGGGCCTGAGTGTGGCTGGCCAACGCCTCTTAATTAAACAGATAAATAAACTTCCTTTGCACGCCAGTTTGTACTTTTGCTGCAGTCTCTGCTGAGGCTGGGGACGGGCACAGAGGCAGTGGGAGAGCAGGGCCTGCTGGGCAAGTGCTGGCCACGTCCAGCGCTGGGGCTGCCCAGCATCCCGTCCTCCCGGCCTGACCACAGAGGAGCGGCTGTGGCTGGCGGGAGAGGCCTCTGCTGGGCGCCTCCAGTGTGACTGGGCCCCAGCTGGGCATCTCACAACTCAGTCGTGGCGGAGTGGAAACAGCACCCCCTTCCCGCTAGAGGTCCACTGGAGGTGCCCACCTTACAGGAGGGCCAAGAGCTTCCCTTCCACTCCTTTTCTCCATGGTTCCTGAGCATCCCCGAATTCAGAGCTCCTTGTGCTGCACTCTAGGCTGCAGGAGTGCCCTGGGCTGGGGGGCTCAGTCGGGGGTGGTTGCTTCCCCTCAGCCACTGTGGAGATGCTGTGGACAACCCCCTCATGGTCGCCAGTGCTCAGGCCGGGTTCTACCTCGCTATGCAGTCGAGCGGGAGTACGCAGCCCCCCGGAAGGGGCTTTCTCTGTGCTCAGAGCGTGGCCTAGTGCCAGCGGAGGCTGGGTGAGAGAGAAGAGGAGAGGGCAGAAAGTAAGCCCCCATTTTTCTAAAACAGCCCGTGGGGTGTATGGTCTCCTGCCGGAACATGTCAGAGCACAGCCTTCTGGGAGGTCCCCAAAAGTGGGAGTTGGGGGACTGCCAAAGGCTGCCCTGAACCAAACCCTTGCCCCCCGCCCGTCCTTCATTCAGCCCCTCCTCTCATGTTGGGCTCTCCCAGGGAGACCCCTCGCTCCCTTCTTGAGCTACAGGTTGAAACAAGATGCATCTGCACAGTTCCGGGTCCCTGAGGGTGCGGGGGCAGGGCTGGCCCCGGGGAGAGTCTCCCCCAGCCTTCGAAGTCTCTCTCGTCGGGTATTTATAGTGGTGCCCAGGAGCACAGAAATAATTACAGTTCCGTCCCGGCTTCCCTCGCACGGAGCTCCTCAGACTCAGGGCGAATGGGATCGTTTTATCCTGGGCTCATTTTAAGTTCTGAATATCAGCTCTGATTGACAGCTCGCGGGCGCCCCTGAAGTGGGGGGAGCAGAGCTCAGGTGCCCTGGCTGCCAAATCTGGCCCCTGGGGCTCAGGGCCCTGATGTAGCTACAGGCGGGACACTGTAGTGCACCAGGCTTCTGTCCTTCCACGGACAGGGACGCTGCAGATGCCCTGGGCAGCACCAAGTGGTTGGTATATCCAGCCGGCCCCAGGCTGGGCAGGGGGGAGGCGCGAAGGGAAGGGACTGGACCCCGGAGGCCTGGACGCCCAGCATACGGCCAGTGCTGACGACCACCCTGGGCCCCAGGCCCCCACGCAGAGCGCCCACTCAGCCAGGCAGTGACAGCCCTTGGCACCGCGGGGTTCCCCCGTGGCTGGCGGGCCTGGCTTCCTCGCCAGACGGTGCTCACCCTGGGGCTGGGGAGCTCATTTCCACAGCAGCAGGATGGGGGGCGGCGTCCAGCACGGAGGAGGAGGCAGGGAGAAGCGGGAGTCCTGGCCCTTTCATGGGTGCTCAGGTCACTGAGCCAGACCACGCCCCACTGGGGTCTTCCAGTGCCCTGGGCTACCTGCTTGCCCACCCTCTAGCAGGATGGAGCCTGGACCGAGGCCAAGGCTGCATGGCTACCCCCATTCCGGAGCCATGGGCAGGGGCCACACCCCATCAGCAAGTGTCTGTCCTCACTGGACCACCCTGAGTGTCATCAGCTGTCAGGCAGTCTTTGGGGAAACCCTTGACCTCGGCCAGCTCCGACTGAGGTCCCAGCCCAGGTGGTCCAAGGCAGCTCCTGGGGAGGTGAAGCCACCCCACACCAGTCCTTTGTCCCCCAGTCGGTCCCTCCTGCCCGTTTGGTGTGCCCCTTCCCTTCCAGGAAAGGATGAGTGGGCCTTGAGGTGCTCCCGAAAGGGTGTCCCTCTGGCCACACCAGCCTCTGGGGACAGGGATGTCACCCCTAAGGCTGATGGCAAGTGAACCCTTATTGGGGAGAGGGGGCTCTTCTGGGCTGGGGAAATCCAGAGTCTCTCAGGAGGCCCCTTCGGAAAGGCAGCAAAGTGGGGGGACCTGGGCACTTCCCATGCACTGTCTGGGCCAGACAGCACACCCGGGGCGCCCGTCCCTGCAGCTTGGCCGGGCCTGTGTGTGAGAATGTAAGTCCATGCTTCTGTTGTGTAACTGTGTGTGTGAGGCGCGTAGCTGCAGACATCGGCAGCTGGACACACAGCCCTGAGGGTGGGGTGTGTGGTGTGTGTGTAGGGGGGTGTGCACAGCTCTCCGTGCGACTGTGTGTGATTGTGTGAGTGCGTGTCACTCTGCGTGTGGATGTGTGGGTGACATCTCTCTGTGCGACTGTGTGACTCTTGAGTGCAGGTCTTGCCGTGACCGCGAGCGTGTGTTGTGGTGCTGATCACGGCACTCGGCGCACAGTCCTGCACCCGCAGTGTGGGGCTGTCGGGCCCGCCGCGCTGGCTGGCGTCCAGGGGGTGGCCGGCCCACTCCGGCCTGGGCTGTGGGTGCAGCAGGCGCGTGCCAGACTACGAGCTGCGAGCTGCGAGTGCTGGTGTGTGTGAGGGTTCCCGGCAGGCCGGGCCGGCGGGGCGGGGGCCGGGCTGCAGCGGCGAGGTCGGAAGTCTGCGCGCTGTCCCATTACATCACTGCCACCCGCCACCCGCGGCCTCCGGGGAGCAGCGGCGCGTCCCCCGCGACCCCGCGCCGCGCGCCCTCCGCTTGGCCGGCGCCCGGGGAGGGGGCGCGCACGGCACCGAGGCGAGCCGCCGGCGGGCGAGGGGTTAAGCGCGGGCTCGGAGGAGCGGGGGTTCCTGCCCGTCCGCGGGGACGCCCCTCCCGCCGCTGCCGCGCGCGCCCCACGCGCACACGCGCGCGCGGGCTGTGCGGGCTGCCCGGCGCCCCGTGCCCGCCGCGGCCTCTGCCCGCGCCCTGCCCGCTCCCCCGAGGCCCGGGCGCGCGGGGGAGGGGAGCCCCGGGACGCGGCGGGCGCGGAGGCGCGCGCGGCCCCGCCGCCCCATGCTGTGCTCCATGGCCAACTCGGGCTGCGTCCTGCTGCCCAACTCCGGCATGCTCCCGCACTCCGTGCCCTGCGCGCCCGCCATCCTCTTCCTCCAACAGGTAAGCGCCTCGGGGCCGGGGGCCGCGCCGGGCGGTCGCCGCAACTTTTCCGAGGGTGCGGGAGGGGGCCGCGGCCAGAGTCCCCTGGGGGAGCCCACGGGGAGGGCCGGGCGCGCCCCGACAGTTGGGGCAACTTCTCCCGGGCGGGGGCAGAAACGGGTGGGGGCTGGGGCCCCTGCTGCAGCGGAGACCTGAGGCCAGAGGGGGCTGGGACGGACGCCCGCCCTCCGGCCCTCCGCGGGGCTGCAGGGCGCAGGGCCGACTAGCTAGGGGGCGGGAAGCCCAGCGGCCGGAGCCCCCATCCCTGGGACGCCCTGCTGGGGTGGCGCGCAGAGCCTTGGCCGTCCTGCCTGCCGCCTGGCAGGATGTGACAGGCGGTGGTCCAGCGATCCCACCCAATGCGGAGCCGGAGCCGGTGCGGTCCCAGGCCTGTGCAGCTGGACGAGGGGGCCTCCCTCTCCCTCTCCCCCCAACGCCCACCCCTTGACCCCTTGGGCTGAGCTTCCCAGCGTCAGCCCCTCGGAGCCCCCATGTCACCCACCCTGGCATCCCACTTTGCAGCTCCGGGGAGCGCCTTCATCACCATCCGGGCGGGCTGCAGACAGAGCTGCTGCTTGGAGCCAGGCATAAAGCGGGACCATCGGGGCCCCACCCCTGGCCCCACCGTCCTGCACAGATCCAACCGTCTCTGTGTGTGCGCGAGTGTGTATGTGTATGTGTGTGCATGAGCATGCTCGTGTGTCTGTGTGTGTCTGTGCATGTGCCTGCGCACATGTGAATGCCTCGCCTTGCTCCTGGCAGTGCTGATAGGCTCCAGGCAGGGGTCTACTTTTGGGAGGTGCTGTCTTGTTCCTCCACCCTGTGGGTTCTCCAGAGACCGAGGGGGGGGGCTGTGGGCAGGACCACAGAAGCCAGGCCCCGGCTCAGCCATGCAGGGGGTCCTTCCACACCCCCGGCAGCGGTAGGGACAGGAACGGAAGCCAGCGTTGGTGGGGAGAGGGTCACGGGGCTGGCTGGCGACCCGCAGCCTCCATGGGACCACCTGTGACCTCTGGGCTGTCCTGGGCTTCACTGGGTGGTAGCAGGAGCCGCCAACGGAGCCACAGGCAGGTGGGGACCAGGCCCCTGGTAGTCACTGAGTCCCAGCAGTCAGGTTCCAGGACCTTCCAGTGCGCCCATGTTTCTGAAGGTGCAGAGCTGCTTGGGGACCAGGGGAGCCAAGGGTCTGTGTTCCTGATGCTGGCAGAAGGGGACAGAGGCTAGTGCCCTGTGGGCAAAGCCCAGCTCCAGGGGCTGGGGCCCAGGTCACAGCAGCCGGCCCAAGGCTGGTGCTGTGGGCAGCTTGGGAGCCAGGCCCTTCCTCTCAAGAGGTGTCCAGGGGAGCCCCTGTGGGCTGAGTCCAGCTGTCACGGCTCCGGGAGCAGCTGCCCGCAGACGCTCCTGCTGGGACTGACGCCCTCACAGCCTGGGGGCTCCGCCGTTCCCTTGGGCAGGGCGGACGCACCCCCAAGTGCGGCCTTGCCTCTGCAGAGAGACCAGACCAGGACCTGGATGGGCCACTGCAAACAGCGCCCAGAGCCTCCCCACCCCCGGCCCACCCTGGAAGCATCTGGCTTCCCGTCTGCAGGGCCACCATGTGCCTCTGCAGGCTGGGAAAGTTCTAGAATGCAGCATTTCCAGACTCCCTGTGGGGGCGGGTTTCTGCAGCTTGTGCCGCTCTGGGGTCAGCCCTCACCGGTCCATGATGACCATCCCAGGCAATCAGGACCAGCTTGACCCTCACACTTGTGGACTGGGACGTGGTGGGGCCAAGCTCCCCACGGGCTCCTGCGTGTTTAGCGAGTCTGTTCCCTGCGAGAGGGGACACTCCCACGGCCAGAGGAGCAGTGAGCCGCAGTGCTGGGGCGGGAAGCAGGCGTCTGGCGGGGGCCAGCAGGGCACGGCCTTCACCTGTGCTGTCGTCATGCACCGGGCTTGGCGTCCTAGGCCCCGCAGCCCAGAGGCCCCCGGCTGCGGGAGCTTCCGGGCCCCAAGTGGCAGACGCAGGCCAGGCAGCGGTGGGCCACTGCTGCCTGGCCTGCATCTACCGCTTGGGGCTCTTGTTGGGGAACTACTGAATGGTGGGCAGGAGGTCTGGGGGTCCCACAGGCGATTCCGAGGGCCCAGGACAAGGTGCTGCTGAGGGTACAGTCCTGGGGGTATCTGGCCCCCACGGTGTTGGGATCCCGGGGCTGCACCAGCGGGCACCAAGGGGACCATGTTGGGCCGGAGTTGAACCCGGTCGGCCGCACACTCGACCTGGCCCTGACCACTGACCTCTCCACAGGCCCCGGGTCCCCTACCCTCAGCTCATCCTCCTTGGTGTCTGTCCCCCAGGGCCCCAAGGAGGGGCCACCCCAGGCTCTGGCTCTATCAAGAAGCCCAGAGCCAGTGTCACCCACCTTGGAGCCACCCGGGGGATCCGGGAGGGGGACCGGAGAGGCCACTGGCCCTTGGTGTCCTCAGCCAGTGAGAGGGCAGCCGGGACAGTCACCCCTCGAGCACCAAGGGTGACCAGCAGGGCCCCAGAGGAAGCTGCAAGGAATAGGGTCAGCCCCAGGCCCAGGGTGGGATGTTTGCTGGGTCTGCAGTGGCTGGAGCAGACCCTCCCCAGGCCTGCCCTGAGGGCTTTGCAGGGCTGCCTCAGGGCTGTCTCAGGGGCCATTTTGGGCCATCTCAGGCAGTCTGGGGGCGTGTGGAGGGGGTCTGTTTCTCAGGGAAGTCTCGGGCTGCCTCGGGGGCTGCCTCAGGGCTGATGTGGCGGCTCAGGGCCCTGAGACTCTTCGTGGCTGGGGAATCTCAGATGTCACTGGAAGTTTCCACCATGGGTGTGGTCTCGAAGTGCCTCTGGCAGCAGTGCTCCCACAGGGTGGTCGGAGGGGGGTGGGCTCCTGGCTCAGGGCGAGGCTCCCTTGGGGGCTGCTCTGGGGATAGTCCTGCTGTGCCACATCCGGGCGCTTTTCCCGCAGGGGGTTGCAGCAAGGAAGCGCCCAGTGTCCCGAAAAGATGCCCGCGGGCGGAGCCCCTGGGATGGGGTCAGGAGTCCCGGGGCAGTGCAGCATGCCCGGTGCCGTGGCCACACACGGGAGGCCTGCAGATGTGTTGGGGGGCCGGGCCCTTCCCTGGGGGTGCCCCTGGACCCAACAGCCTCAGCCGGTGTGTAGCCGAGGCAGGTGACATCACTGAGTCCACCCCCCATCCGTGGCCTGTAAGCGAGTCCTAGGGGATCCCTGGGGTCTGGGGGCCCAGCCTGAGCGTCCACACCCGGACACCACCCCACAGGAAGCTGAACTGTGTCATTTGGTGGTGGGGAGTGACCATTGTATTGTGACTCTGGCCGGAGCTGCATACCAGCCTGGTTTTTGGCCTTTGGTTTGGCTTTCGCTTGGGGCCGCACCTGGCGGTGCTCAGAACTGACTCCCGGCTCTGTGCTCAGGGAGGAGTCCTGCCGGGCTGGGGCTCAGACCTGGCTCAGCTGTGTGCAAGCCCTCCCCCCCGGACCGGCTCTCTGGCCCATGAGCACATGTCTGACTGCTGAGGAGACGGGCCGGGGAGGTGGGGTAGGTGCTGACGGAGACACGGAGATGCAGGGGGCTGACGTCCGCAGATGGAGCTCACAGCCTGTCCGATCCCTCTCACCGGGCGCCCAGGCCTGCGGTACAGCCACTGTCCGCCCATCCCCAGGCCGGGCCCGCAGGGACGCAGGGTTCTCGGGAGAGTGGATGGTCTGGATGGAAACGGGAGGGCGGGACAGGTGGGTGTTGGAGAGGGCAGCTGGCACAGACGGGCCATGGTTTGGGGTGGCCTGGCCCTGAGATGCTCGTGGGGCCGGGGACGCTGGGCCCAGTTGCAGTGGGCATCTTCAGAGCCTGAACACTCATGTCTCCGCCTCGGATGCTGAGCGTTGGCACATTCTCGGGGCCCAGGCCGTGGCAGGGAGCAGCTGACCATGTCCCGGTGGGCCTCTGTGAGGGGCTTCCGTTCCCCCCCCAACCTCATCTTCACTCTGACTCCACCCTCAAGTGAGGCTTCAGGCCTGTTCCTGACCTGCCAGCAACTTCCCCTCCCCTGGGCCTGGCCAGGTCTAGGAACTGGTTCTCCCACCCCGGGCTTTGGTTCTGGCACCGGAAACAGCTCAGGGCTCCTTCGAGAACCTGCTCTGCCTCCCCACCGGGTGTCGGCGTCCAGGAGCAGAGCAGAGGCCCAAAGAAGCCCACAGTGTGGCTTCTGGGCACAGCCGGGTGCCCGCAGCCACCAGCCGGGCGCGCAGGTCAGCTGCGGACGCAGCTGTCCTTGGAGGCAGCGGGGCCGAGTCCCAGCCAGTGCCCTCTGTCCACCGTCCCAGGGTCAGCGCATGAAGGTGGCGCCGAGCAGAATATCGGGTTCCTGGGGCGTGTGGGTGGCCGACGGGGCCTTGGGCCACCTCCAAGCCAGTGCCGGCAGCCCCAGGCACCCGGCAGGGTCCAGTAGAGGCGATGGTCCTGTGGGCACGGTGTTCCTTAGCCCATGTTCCCTGGCAAGCATGGGCAGGAGCACAGGCCCTCTGTGTAACGGGGCTATGTAGCCAGGACCTCGGGCTCCCCCTTTCTGCCTCCAAGTCAAGGTTCCTCCTAGAATGACCCACTCTGGGAAGGCCTCAGGCCATCCCCCACACCCCAACTTCCTCCTGGGCTTCCAGCCCCACCAACCCCCACCTCTGGCCCATGGGACCATCCCAGCACTGTCCCCCCGCACGGTGACGAGGCCTCACCGTGGCTGGTGACGCCTCCCGGGCCAGGCGGAGCGGGGACAGGCAGGGCTCGGCTGGGCACTGCCCACCTGCCAACCACCAGGAGTGGCCATGGGCCTGAGCCTCCACCCGCATGGTATTTCCCATGGGGAGTCGTAGGGTCCTCAAGCTGCCGCGTGGTGACCCTGGGCTCTGCTGGAGCTGCCTAGCAGAGAGGGGAGCCCCGAGGTCC